AAATGTACAAGCATTTCCTTGCATAAGCCAGAGACTGTATGTTAAAATCTATAGTCTACAGTTATGCAGATTACAGTTTCAGATGAAAACCTTACATTTGTCTACAATTCTTAATAGCCGTACAAGGAAAAAAAAGCCACCACCCAAAAACCCCAAATCTCAACTTCTTTCATTGTTATTCAGCAATTCCATGTCTAAAATTTTTTTATCCTAAAACTATTGCATTATAGTTTAAGATAGCAGGTCTACACAGTGTGTGAACACTTGCAGGGACGGTGACTCCAGCACTGCCCTGGGCAACCTGATCCAGTGCCTGAGCACCCTCTGGGGAATGAATTGTTCCTAATCTCCAGTCTAAACCTCCCTTAGTGCAGCTTGAGGCCGTTTCCTCCTGTCCTTGTTCCTTGGGAGAAGAGACTGACCCCACCTCACTACATACCTTGTGCTGAGAGAGAATACAGATCAGATGCAAAGCTTACACCTGCTATCTACAAATATACAAATATATTTTAATTGCCATTTCATCTTATGTTTGTATTTGGACAACACAGTTTCTCATTCAGCTATATTTTGCACAGATCTGCACAAAGCTAGGAGTGTTGGTGAAATCATATCTTTAAGGCACATTTAATTTCAATTTTTAATTCAGAAGGAGTTCCCAGACCCAGCCACAATAGACTTTTGACAGTAAGGCTTAGAAGCAAACTTGCCAATCCTCCATGTTCACAGTATCACACAGTATCACAGTATGCTAGAGATTGGAAGGGACCTCAAAAGATCATCTAGTCCAATCCCCCTGCCGGAGCAGGAACACCTAGATAATGTTACACAGGAATGTGTCCAGGCGGGTTTTGAATGTCTCCAGGGAAGGAGACTCCACAACCTCCCTGGGCAGCCTGTTCCAGTGTTCCGTCACCCTCACTGAGAAGAAGTTTCTTCTCAAGTTTAAGTGGAACCTCTTGTGTTCCAGTTTGTACCCATTACCCCTTGTCCTATCATTGTTTGCCACTGAGTAGAGCCTGGCTCCATCCTCGTGACACTCCCCCTTTATATATTTATATACACTAATAAGGTCACCCCTCAGTCTCCTCTTCTCCAAACTACAGAGACCCAGCTCCCTCAGTCTTTCCTCATAAGGGAGATGCTCCACTCCCTTAATCATCTTGGTTGCCCTGCGCTGGACTCTCTCCAGCAGCTCCCTGTCCTTCTTGAACTGAGGGGCCCAGAACTGGACACAATATTCCAGATGCGGTCTCACCAGGGCAGAGTAGAGGGGAAGGAGAACCTCTCTCGACCTACTAACCACCCCCCTTCTAATACACCCCAGGATGCCATTGGCCTTCTTGGCCACAAGGGCACAGTGTTGGCTCATGGTCATCCTGTCGTCCACTAGGACCCCCAGGTCCCTCTCCCCTACACTGCTCTCTAACAGGTCGTTTCCCAACCTATACTGGAACCTGGGGTTGTTCCTGCCCAGATGCAGGACTCTACACTTTCCCTTGTTATATTTCATCAATTTATTCCCTGCCCAACTCTCCAGCCTGTCCAGGTCTCGCTGGATGGCAGCACAGCCTTCTGGCGTGTCAGCCACTCCTCCCAGCTTAGTGTCATCTGCAAACTTGCTGATAGTACACTCAATTCCCTCATCTAAATCATTGATGAATATATTAAATAATACCGGTCCCAGTACTGACCCTTGAGGCACTCCACTAGTTACAGGCCTCCAACTAGACTCCGCCCCATAGACTACAACTCTCTGGCTTCTCTCCTTCAGCCAGTTCACAGTCCACCTCACTAGGTGGAGTAATGTTGAGTAATAGTCAGTAGTAAAACAGGAATCATTAGGACATTTTTTGTACAAAATGGCTCTAGAAGTACTGTACTGTCACTGCAAGAAACGATGTGAAAACATTTATACTTGCCTGCTATTAACATGTGTTTTTTTCCCCCTAGCTGATCACTACATAATAAAAACCAGTAAAAATCTTCTGGACCTAAGGAATAACTTTGATCATGCTACTTCTGTGAATTGCTCTAATCTCATACCTAAGGAAGCTGGTAGAGAAGAATCATTTGAAATTCAACCAGAAAATAAAACAGAAAATGGCACCAAAATCTACTTTGCTATATGTGCTGTTGATGATACCAACTTGATTTCAGAGGTGTCTAATATAGCCCAAACCACATGGTTCCTTCCTCCAAAAACATTTGTGCCTTTAAATCACCAAGGCAGCACTAACGGTGCCAACACTGCAGTAATAGTGGCAGTAGCAGCTCTGTGTGTAGCAGTTGTCTGTACTATCATAAATTCAACTCTCTATGTTTTTAGCAAAAAGAAGGGAAGACTGGAGATTGAAAAAATGCAAAGGCATGTGTAAAATAAAATGAAAAAATAGAAGGAATTTACTGCAATTTTTGCTACGCAAGTTTCAAAGTAGGGAAAGAGGTATTTGTACATTAAAAACATAAGAGCACTGACTTCCAGCAGATGTATTTGTCTGTTCTGATAGGCTTATAGATGTCAATGTTCAAAAGTATCTCACATTCAAGTACCTGTACACTGATTAAATGTTAAACATGAAAGCATGTACTTGGAAATACAGTAAAGTATAATACGTGTACTCTCATTTGTTTCTAGGTGATAAAAATATTTAACTCTTCTGTTGCAATATTCTTCCAATGTAATGTGGCTTTTTTTCTTAAATAAAGAAGGCAAAGGAATATGAGACTTCCCTTATTCTTATTCTCCACATAACAATCAAGTAAGGCAAGGTGGTAAAGAGATCAGAAATACCTTCAGTTAGTGCAACGACTTCCTATTTTCCAATGAATTCCACATGATTTCAGTTAGGTTTTTTGAGCTGAGAACAAAAATATGTACCTCAAGGCTGTCTATTTTTCAAAAAATATTTTAAAATATGTATCTCCAAGCTGATTATTTTATTTTTAATACTGAAATATGTCTACCTATAGGTGTGTAGAAGAGTTGAGTATATAAATATTTCTAGAATGAGAGTTGCAGAGTAAATGCAAATGAGCACATGGAAAATGTTCCTATGTTCATCTCTTAATGAACTTTACTACTGGATACCTTTTCAGATCTAAAATTCCATTTCCCCAAACAATAACAACATTGTAATTTTAGTTCCTATCAAGGCCAGAATAGCTGTCGCATTTTAGAGGAGAGAGACGCCTTTGGAGAAGAGTCAGAAATCAAAGCATTATTTGCTGATATAGGTTCCCTCTAACAGATTTTAGGTCACCAAATGTCCATTTATTCAGAAATATTTCCTTTCATTTGCTCCTGATGCAACTTCTTATTCCCTAAAGTATTTCTGCTGTGTATGAATTGGTAGAAACTACATCATACATAGAATCAGAATAAATGGGTTGCAGCATTGTTCCTGGAACTATTTTCTAGGGTCACTTAAAAGTATGACAGATAGGCTATAGCCTATCTCCATCCATTATTCATCCATTACTCTGAAGACCCCCGGTCCTACCTTGCCTAGCGGGCAGGACTGCAGTAGTCTATAGTATGTAGGCAATGACACCTAGTGGGCTCCAACAAAACTTACAGTTTTCCCAAACGCTCTAAAGAACAGTTTAGATCAAGTCATTGCTGTCCGGGATGTTCTGACTTTCATATAAATGTATATTTAAAAGTACAATCAAATAGGAATAGTTGAAGGTTGAATTTAGCACTTATGGCTAGTTCTTACTATAAGAGCATGAAGATTTATTTTAATTAGGAACTTCAGTTTACAGTGCCTGTGCTATGGTAAAAACTGAAGGACTCTGTTCAAGTAACACAGGATTCTGCACTTCCCCAAAGTGGGGAAAACACAATTTGCTCTTTCATGGCAAGCAAAATGACAGGGTAAGAGTGACTGACTTCAATGATTATGTTTACACCAACAGTATGTATGCTGAAAAGCTATGTGGGCTGGGGTCCCAATCACTGACACAACTGCCACATGCCAGTTCAGACTGGCCTGAAAAGATGTGATAGTTAAAGTCAAAACTGTATAAGCTTTGTTCCTCAATATGTTCTTCCTAATGCTCTTAAAATAACCTAAGCCTCCAGCCTCCTATGCAGACCTCATGGTGTTCCATTGAGAAGATAAGTTTGATTATTCCTATGCCACTTGTAAAGAGAATGTAGTACCATGTGATAAAGTGACTTTATTGCAGTCATCAGCAGGGAAGTGAAGAGCTGCAAATACACGTCCAGCCACTAAACTGTTATTGCAGTTTATCCCAAAACTTCAATTTGTATTTCCCTAGGGGAAGTTATAGCCTATAGAATTTTCCATAGAATCTTCTTCCAAGTGGAAGATAAACAGCTTCTTCTAAGATAGACAGCTGTGGTGTGGGACCAAATTATGATCCTGCCTGGGTATCAAACTAACCTGCTGTGGCTCCAGGAAGTATGACACTAAAAGGACAAAGACCACGAAAAGAACATGATTTACCTAGTCCAGTTCCCTGAAATGTCATGACTTTTGCCAACTGACTCTTTTGCCAGTTGCTGCCTGCAGTTGTAGTACAACCCTTGTTGAAGTGTTTAGGGGAAGCACAGCAACAGCTGCCGTAAGGACCAGTAGAAGAGTGCACTAAGTGAAAAGGAGCATTAATTCTCACTGGGATAGCTGTAGTTTTTGAGCGGAAGCTGCTTTTGAGAACAGCTGTTTTCTGGTTCTGTCAAATCCAGGCCCCAGATTTTTCATGAAAGCCTGATTGTACACAGGCCAGGCAGCTGGCACTACTGATTTTATAATCTTTGCCTGGTTATTATCAAGCTAAGCTCACAGTTGTTAATGTTGGCACAGAAGTTATACACTGACACACAAACAAACGCATTTACCTATTTCAATAGAACAAGCTTTGACTATTAAATAGAGTTATAATTTAATAATGTTCATTTTAAGTGACACATTCTTCTCATTTTATTTTTATATGTCTTTTCACTACATGAATAAAGGTTAAATCAAACTTACCTTCAGATTTTCATGCACATTTATTTTGAAACTCTGGTTCCAGAATTGCTGTTATTCTTCAAAGTATTAGTTGGAGTTCTGAAGAGCTGTGACTGGTAATAAACTGCCAGAAGTCTTCAATTTCTGCTGCTTATCTGCATTAAAAGACTACATAAATACATAAAAATTATGCCAATATATGCTGCAGTTAGATAATAATGAATGGGGAATAGTGTAGACATACAGTGACACAAGATGGGACCCATACAACTCAATGTATTATAGAACTAAATATATATGAATTCTAACATAGATACTACATTATTGGGATTATACATGCTACAGAAATGTGTTTACTAATTTTAATGTGTTTTCACAATGATATAAACTGACTTATGGAGACATTTTGGGGGTTGTTTTTGTCTTCATTAAATCTTTTACTCCGAAGCCTTTGGTTTAAACGCTACTTTCTCATACAGTCAGAAAGCAGTTCTGGGAGTCAGCTTGGAAGCATTTAAGTTACAAGCTATTATTCTCTCTATAAAAGTATTTTATTCATTAAACTATAAAGCTTTATATTTATATAATTTTGTTTAGCTTTTTTTGTAAGCATAAGTCTTTAAGGATGTGGTCCAACACTGGTTAGCATCAAGGAAAGAATACTGGAAGCCCTCCCAGTAGATACACTACATATTGGCATGTGGTAGTCAAAGGATTGTTTTAAAATTCAAATAATTTAAAGCAATCATACATTCCTTAAAATTAAAGCGCGCTTTAATTTCAAGGTCAACAAATATGGATGCTCTCTATCAAGCCATCCTGAACCATACTAAATTGTGCCAGGCTTACAATGTTTCTGGAAATTGACCTTAAAAAATGCTCAAGATTCCACATATGTTCAATACTCTTGATTATCATAAAGCTTCTCAAGAAAAGTCTAATGACAAGAAATAAAACCTTAAGATGCATTTCTTTACTGATAAGTCTGACACAGAAGCAAAGTTAGCAGATTTAATAACAGCAACTGTGCTGCAGCATCTAGTCGTTCAACCTACAGATCTCAAGCTTCCTACCCTATTTTACAGTGTATTCCAATGTAATACTTCGCTGCAAAGCTTTACAGCTACATGACCAAGACTTAGGTAGACAAATATGATGATCTAGAGAGATATAAAAGGCTAAAACTACAGTGATTCTAACCACTGGTCTTATTTGTCTCCCACTTCAAGAAATTGTAATCAGAAATCCTCAAAGCCCTCACTCAAATAATTACCAAGTAACAGTGTTGAAGCTTTTTACGTAAATTCTACAGGGATGTTCCAGGGTCTGTTTATATCCAACAGTATCATGCTGTAAAAGGTTATTTCTTCTATTTGGACATGTTATAAGCAAGGCTGCAGATCAGGCAGTAGGCAAAGTATGGTGTTCATCATACCTGCTGGTGCACTGGTCACCAACTTTTTTCATAATCATCAGAGATGAGAGGACATGGCATGCTTCAATTTCTTTTTCAGCCTGAGACAATTCTGCAGATTCTCACATGGCTTATACTTCAGCACTTTTACATATGACCAGCCCTGCTGTTTACCCTACACTTCTGAAGGAAGCTACTGCTCCTCCAGCACAGGTAGCAGTAGTAAACATGCTGACTCCTCGGCTGTTTGCAGCTGATTTTATCAGAAAGAGCTACGGGATCTTTGAATATACCTGCAGAGCTCTCTAGGTCAGTATCTAGCTTGTAACTAAGCCCACATGCTAGGTACATCTCTCTTTACCTGAACCAAGTGTATCAGTTTATCCTGAACTCAAAACCCTGACAATGCTTCTAGCTCTGAACAGCAGCTGTAGAAAGGAACCGTCATTTCCTGCTAGAACCAGGTATTGAAGCTTCCACTAAAGACAGGGCAGAGAGCCTGCATGTGGTAATCTCTTCAAATGACCGCAAGAATCTTCAAGGTTCAGCTCTTAACACCTGAATGTATGTTCCTTCTAGGATGCAAAAATAACAACAATAACAAAATCTAGTTTCCCCTGAACACTATGTTATAGGCCTACAGGATGTGGACAAAGAGAATTTCAAGAAAGGGAGTAACTTGGAAGTGTTTTAAGAGCAGTGGAATACTGTGGGACCCAAGCATGTAGTTGAAGGTTGTGATCCAACAACAGGATTTATTTTTATGTTATAGGATTAAATAGGGAAAAACGTTCCAAACTGGGTTTTTAGATGAAATTCATAAACATACATTAAAACACATCTTCCTCTTAGATAAGTGTAGCAACTATTAGCCTGAAGAGTTGTTTTCTCCCTCTCACTCACATTCTGACTGCTTAAACTTTCATTAAAACAGGAAGGATGTTAAAAGTGGGAACTGAAAAAACACATCTGATGCCCCACTTATGCCAAACAGCCCATCTGCTAAAGGCAGAAGTACCATCTACTTCAGGCATTTTCCTAAGAAATAGTACTGTTTTGTTTAGGGCTCCTTAGGAAAGCAGCAATTAAAAGTAGATATTCCAAATCCTACAAGAATATTCTAACCCATGGGAGCTTAAACGATGGGAGTCTTCTTCCTCTTCCATCCAGGTTATGCTAGAAAGGAGAGGTATCGAGCCATTTGCTGAAGTAAAAAGTGGAGTGTCAAGGCTGTCAGTCAATATAAACATAGAAAGCAACACATCCCTCTCTTGCAGGTGAGGCTCACATGTCATGGGCAGCAACAGGGCTCTTCAGGGAAGAACCACCAGTATTTTGTCTTGGGAAGAGCTAGACCGTGTTGGTTGCTGTCAATTCCACTCTTATGATACCCCTCTCCCAAGACATTATTGGGGTACAGATCTTAACCTGAAGCGGTGCTTCTACCTCATGGTCAGGTACTGCTGGCCTCAGCTGTTTGGCATCTCTTTTTTGGAACTCCATCAATGGGAACTGCTGATGCTTAGCACCAATGAAAGCTATGAAGTGATCTAATTGCATCTGTGTGTCCACATTTAAAATCTTCGATGTTGCTGTCTCTTCACATGTCCTACACTGATATCAGAAGAAATCATAATCAGCTTTTATAGACCATATAGCACCGAGCATTACAAGAGGGACTTGTAAGATTTTTATATACCAGTAAAACTCATTTTAAGCAATGGAAACTTGCTATATAGTTTTCATATATAAGCACTTACATCCACACATAAGTGAGACAATAAAACCTAAAAAAGGTGAAACATATTTGAGCAAAGCAAACACGTATACACAATAGCTTTCAGGCCCTCTCCTTATCAGTACTAAGGGTACAATGGGAACTTTACAGAGTCTGGTTTTGTGTTGGTTTTAATTCCTGGAATCTAACCAGCATATAAGCAATATTGCTTTGATTGTTACAGTTACTTCCTTTTACTGGAATTCCCTTCTTGTCATAATGCTCTAGGATTTCCTCTGACTTTATCAAATTTAGCCAAACAGTACTTATTATTTGGATTATGAGGTAAACAACCAGGATCATTTTCAAAGTGGGAATATATTAGTTTGTTGCCAATGACGCCACATTATAAATGTGGTCTCTAATTGCTAGGCCAGGTGAAAGGTCATAGAATCGTAGATTCATAGAATGGTTTCGGTTGGAAAGGACCTTAAGATTATCCAGTTCCAACCCCCTGCCATGGGCAGGGACACCTTGCACTAAACCAAGTCACCCAAGACTTGGCCTGGCCTTGAACCCTGCCAGGGATGGAGCATTCACAGCTTTCTTGGGCAACCCATTCCAGTGCCCAGCACCCTTACAGGGAAGAACTTCTGCCTTAAATCTAACCTGCACTTTCCCTGTTTCAGTTTGAACCCGTCACCCCTTGTGCTATCGCTACAGTCTGTGATGAAGAGGCCCTCCCCAGCATCCTTGTAGCCCCCTTCAGACACTGGAAGTTGCTCTCAGGTCTCCATGCAGCTTCTCTTCTCCAGGTAGGTCCATTCTTTTCTTCTTGGGCATTTGCAAATTATCATGAGAGACGTTAAAATAATGGAAATTATTAATATTAGGGACTATTTTGTTCTTCTAATCTGGTCGTTTGCTGGTATTAAGTTCCTAAACTCAACGTATTTTCAGATACTCCCTTTGTGATGCTTTGGTGCTCTATCACAGCTGCGTCTCAACTCACATTTATCGAAACAAGCTCTTTTAATAAACACCTTTTTCCTGAACTTAACAACTCTTCCCCAGCTGACATTTTCACCCGTGAACACTGTTCTTCATGAAGACAAGGGTTGACTTACAAAACTGGACTCAAGAAATGGGGGCCGAGGGCGGGAGGCTGGACCTCGTACCCTCAGAGGACACTTGTCAGACGATTCCAGCCGCGGCGGGCACCACCAACCGCATAAAGGGATTCTGCCTTTTCCGCCGGCCCTTCTAGCCGATCTGTACGGTAAAGGCCGCGGCCTGCTCCACGAAGTGCCTAGTCCCTCGTCCCTCTTCCCCCTCGGCCGGCGGGCGGTTCGCGGGCCCAGCACCGCGCCGACAACGGCAGCGCCCGCCTAACGCGAAAGCGGACGCCCCGCCCTAAGGGGCGGTGGCCCCTCACCCACGAAGCCCCGCCCACCGTCCCCTCACTCCGGGGCGGGTCGGGCGTCCCCGGCGCTTCACCGGCTGATCCGGGCTCTGCGACAGACGCCGTGGCAGGGGCCAATCGACGGCGTCGCCGGGCTTGGCACCGCCCCCCGGCGGCTCCCCACAGGGACGGGCCGGAGCGGCCGCCGCCGCCGCCGGTGCCTGGGTTGGGTGAGCGCTTTGTCCCCCGCCGAAGATGAACATCATGGACTTCAATGTGAAGAAACTGGCGGCCGATGCCGGTACCTTCCTGAGCCGCGCCGTGCAGGTACGCCCCTCCCGTCCCTGCGGGCGGCTTACCGGGACTGGGCTTCGCTGCCGCGGCCCTCGCTGGGGGAAGCGGGCGAGGCTCCGCGGGGCCGCCGCTGGGCCCAGCGCGGCGTGGGGCGTTGGCCGGGGCTCTCGGCTCCGCCCTGGGCCGGGGGAGCGGCGGTCGGGAGGGGCCAGGGTGTCGGCTGGGCCCAGCTCTGAGGGAGCGCCCAGCCTGGCTCTGCTGGCGAGGGTTGAGCTCAGAGCCCTGGCCTGGCTGGGCAGCGATGTGCTGCTGTCAGTGCCTCATCCTCCAGCCAGCTCCTTCCCCGCGGGTCCCTTGCTAGTACTGGGCATGGCGGGACTTCGTCCAGGCCAGTTGCAAAGCCGCTGGCCTCGGGGGAAGGCTGGGGCAGCCCAAGGTCAGGGCAGGCGAGGAGGGGAGAGGGCGCCTGAGCTGAGGGAAGGCAAGGGGACGAGTTGAGCAGGCATCAGCTGCGAGGAGATAGGATAGGGTTTAGTCGTGGAGAGGCCGAAGGTGTGTCTGGCCTGAAATAAGCTGGTGCTAAAAATGTATCCTGCTATCTGATTGGTAAAACTGGATCTCTCGATGTGACACGTGAAAGAATCTGTCTGCTTAGGCTTTTTGGTTTTGTTTGAGCTTTAGTGCCGTTTTTAAGCTTGTTTGATAGCGTATTTTTTCTGCACCAGTCTTCCCTTTCTCCATGCGAAGGACACTGTAATTGGCTTTTGTTCCTTAGCTGTTGTCTTGAGCCGTAATCCCCTTTGTTTATATAGTCAAACCTGAACAGATTTCCTGTAGGGAGGTGGGACATCCAAGCGGTGCGTAGTAATGCACTTGGGTTTCTCCCGAGCTCTCGCTGGGTCAAACTGTGCGGTTTGGAATGTGATTAGCATTGTTATCTGGTCTGATCGGCCTGATGTATCGCCCTAAATCTCAATATTCAGGCAGAACCAATGACCCAGCAGCACAGTAGAGCTCTGAAAATGCAAACTCATCGGAAAACATTGTTGTTCGAATTTAAATGAATTTAAAGCAGTCGTTGTGGCTTCTCTTTGTAATGGAGGTCTTTCCATGCTTCAACCCCAGCTCTCCCCCCCCCCCCCCACCTTCCCGGCTTCTGCCAGGTCTACGTGTTTCCCAGATCATCTCTCCAGCCCCCACCCCTTTCCCTTTTCTTGCTGGACAAGGAGAAAAAGATGTTCACTCTTCATTGTAAGATCCTGTGATGGGACCTTGTGATTTCATCCCTTTTATCTTGACTTTTTACATTTGAATCGGCTTATTGCCTTAAATCTAAGGTTTTTGCAGTCTGACATGGTTTAAAGGTGAACTGTGTTTTACTGCAGTATGCTCTATCTGCATGGTTGGTTTACATCTGCATAGCTACATTGGTTATCTGCTTAACCTAAACTAAAACTCAGGGGGAATGTGGAAGTAATAAGTTTGCTCTACCAGCTGCCACTTTCCCCTGAAATGAGAAGTTTAATGAAGCCATGAGGGGGAGGAGCAAATCCCTGACATGTTGTTGTAGTCTGAGTAACTCATGTTCTGTGTGCTACTGTTGCTTCTTCTGTTTTCCTAAGTAACTATGTGAGGCCTACAGATAATGTTGCTGGATAAGAATTGTGATTTTTATTTTTTTCTTAATATCACCTAAATGTAAATTTTCTGGCCTCCAGTAAAAACTATAGATTTGTATTTTGAGTTAAAGTTCAGACTTCAGTGGATGACATACTATGTTCTGTCATTAGTTGCTTTGGGATATTGGAAACGGAAATCTCCCACCAAACCCTATAAAACAATCCAACAGCATAAAGTGGTCTGTAGGAAAACCACTTAAAATCTTCTATTTTAACTTAGAAGAGGGTGAATGCCTTGTTACTGTTTCACAGGCTTATCAGACTTCTATTTTACAAGGGGACTGGGGCTGTTTTACCCACAACCACCTGATATTCATGTTCCCGGAAACTTCTTTCTTCTGTGGACAAGATTATACTGTGTCCAAACTGTCATGCTCTATGTAGCAATCTACAGAAAAATGAAGTTCACTGGCCATCTTCATCCAAAGTCTACTCTTCCTTCTAGCCGGCAGAAAATGCTTGAGGGAGTCAGTCTTGCAATAGTTGCAGTTTGTGGAACAAAGTAGCAAATGGTTATCGTTAGTGGTATTTGGAGTGAAATAAATAATGCCATAGAGTGTAGTAATAGGAATGTGAGTGCTTCCTGTTGCCAGACTGTAATTGACAAGCTGTCTGTGTAGCAGTCAGGAATGAACTGGGCTTCTACTCTTTGGTGGCAGGAACACTTTTATTGTTCAAGACCTCTACCTGAAGTTAGAGGCTTATTTTAATGCAGTTTCTCCTCCTAGTAATTTTGCAGTGTAGACTTGAACTGTCAGTTCAGCTGTGATAGCTCAGGTGTATGCAAAACAGTACAATTTTCTTCTGTATGAGCTGGTCACAGTCAGGCAACTTGTATATATATTTCGAATTTAATAAAGATAGATGGGTGGATTAGATGGCTTACTGATACAGCTTGTTCCAGCAGGTGCTTACATTAAGTAACTCTGGCATATTTTGAACTTCTAGTAAAAAGGAAAACTTTCAGAGCTCTAATCAAAGTAGAAAATAATATCTGCCTATGTTGGAACAATTCTAAGCAGAAGAAACATGCTTGATTCATAGCACTACTTTCCTACAGAAAAAAAACAGTTCAAATTTAGGTTTCAGGGTAATCAAGATAGGAAATCAAGAGTGGCAACATTGTTTGCATTAAATTGGTGCTGGAAACCATACCTCTATTTACTATTACATACTGCTATTTCACATGCTGCTCAGGATTGCTAAAATGAAGTTTTTTCTTTAAGAAATCTATCATTGTGATATGTGAAATCTATCACTGCGATATTCACTAAGCAGTCTTCACACTGCTGAAAAGATTTATGGAAATATTAACAGGAAGCCCCCTTTTTGTGTACAAATACTCTTCTCTGTAATTAGTAAAAAAACAATTTCAAGACCATTTATATTGTATTGTAATGAAGCTTTTGAGAACAACTTTTAGCACCTGATATCTTTTTAAAGAGTTTTTTAAACACTAGTAGTAACACATTCATAAATAAATTCCCTTCTTCCCAGTGCTGCAACTAAACTTTCTTGTAAAGGCAGTTTGCTTTTATGTAAAGCTGCAAATGCCACAAGATTTATCTGGACTTCAGGTGAGTATGTTATTGAAGTTGGTTTTATTGTACTTGTGATGGAAATTAAAACAAACTCAGGCAATGTAGTTTATGTGTATTCTTGTTTCTTACTGCCCACAGAAGAACTTGTAAAGAATGAAGTTAGTTAAAATGCTTCTGGTCCTATTATGTTCTTAAAGGGCAAGCTTGTTAGAGATTGAGTCATAAGTCAGGTTCTTCTGAAAATGCCTGACATTGAACAGGCTGTCAAGTGATGAGATCATCATTGTCATGAGGAGCTACTGCTCTGGAAAGCAGCAGGCCAAACCCTCAGTTCTGGTTTTGCTTGGTTCCCTGATGTGAAATTGTGGCTTCCCCCTCGCCCAGAGAACTGGGACTGAAGTACAAGCTGCTTGTGGATTGATAAAATTTGGCATGAATTTAATATCAAGTGAAATGAATTGTCAGCTTGGAAGTGAACAGCAGAGGTCATCTTACTGTTTCTGTAAGGCATGACAGGATCAGTTATATCTAAACAGTTCATCCAACACTGACTTGTATTCTAAAAAGCAGAACACCCCCAGCCTTAAAGATATATAATCCACAACTTCCCAGGGAAGTTTATTTTGGATTTTAATCCTTGTCTTTAAAAGCTTTCTCTAATGTCTAATTCTAATTTAAATCTTCATGCTGAGGTTTAAACTCACTACCTTTGTCCTGCTTGTTGTGCACAGGACAACTTTTTCTTAAGCACATTAAAAGATAGCTGCAATGAGAGTCTGTTGTGTCTTCAGATTTTACTGTGGGAGAAAGGACAAACTTAATTACAAAATACAGAATATAGTAATTTAATTGTCTTTTGTTACCTTTGCAGTTTCTTTCCTTTTGGCTCATGTTTCAGAGTGCACTATGAAAAATGGGCAAAATGTCAAGTGCGAGCTCTTACTACCAAGTTAAGCAGAGGATTTCTTCATAATGTTTTAAATTACTGTCCTCATTTTGGTCTGATTAATACCCTCCTGCCCCTTTTATTCCTGATAGTACGAGTGTTGAATTTGCCAACTTTCCAATTTATTCTTAGGTTTTTATTGATGACTGGATAATGGTTATGTCTTTGAAAACATGATCTGTAACTGAGTGAACAGTTAGTGTCTTAAGCTTGTCCTGGGAAATTATTTCTATAACTAACTATTTTCAACCTGATTGATTCATAGTTCACTGAAGAAAAGCTTGGTCAAGCAGAGAAGACTGAACTGGATGCTCACCTGGAGAACCTTCTCGGCAAAGCAGAATGCACAAAACTCTGGACAGAAAAAATAATGAAACAAACAGAAGTCTTATTGCAGCCAAATCCAAGTAAGTAGCCCTTCTGGTTTTTGTTTGCAACTTGTGAGTGAGTAGATATGCCTATGTAAATATTTACTGCAATAGGTATTACACAAGTTATGACTAAATACACCAGTTTTAAAATTTGAAAGCTGAGATTAGGGAAAGCACATTTTGAAGAGCTACTGAGCATGAGAGACACTGCACTAATTACTGCTACTTCCTTAACCCTTCAAATGGAAAAAGCCTTAGACAGAGTTCCTCAGACTCCAGCGCTGGTTCCCTACTCTGGTCACCTTCAGGCTGATTGGTTTCTGGGTTGTTTTCTATTTAATTGAATTTCCAACTCTAATTCCAGAAATCTTAGGTACCTGCAAGAACTCTAAAATCCTTCACGGGGCAGATGCATTGGCTTAAGAAATTTAATTACTGTTTGATTACTTTAAACCGTTAGCATAATACAATTCAGCTTGAAGTGGACAAGATGAACTGAAAAGCTTATCTTTAACAATTTCTTTACTAAAGAATGATTAGATTGTATTGCTTAAGTATGTTATATCAATAAAGTTTTAAATTTGCTTTCATCTGTAGTGAATCTCTTAATGCAAAACCACAGAAAAACCATGGGTAGAGTAATTTTCTGGTGTGTTAAATAGTTCTTTCTGAAATTGTTGCTAAGGGTGGTACTGTTGAAGATACCATTTTCAGATTTACATCCTATGGTTATCTGTGCCATTCATGGCAGTTGTACTAGAGTTGTGTAGAGTTCTCCTTCTAGTGACAAACTGAGGGTTTATTAGTATAGGTATATCATACACTGATAGCACTTCTCTAATGTCAGAGAAATTCTTTATAATGCTGATCTTTGGAGTGTGATTTTTGAAGCCTGCATCCTTTAGTTCTGTAAAAGCAGTATTTAAAAAACAAATGTAAACCCCAAAAGAACTAATCCTATGTGAAGGATGCAATAGAACTTACAGAATATCGCATCTCAAATTTTTATTTCTGTCTAGGCCAAAGAAAATGGTTGTCTTATTAATTCAGTATTTGTAATATCTTTTTCAGAAACTTGTAATTGAGAAATACTGAGTCACTGAGGGCTGCTAGGACTGTGTGAGGCAGATTCAGTAGAAGGCTAATATATGATAGTGTCTCAGTTATGCTGACCAGTCAGTTTTCTGATAGCTAAAAATACTCAGTGTTAAGCACCGGTCTTCGTCTGTAAATGTAACTTCAGCTGTTTGGCAGCCTGTTTGAGAGGACTATCACATGCTGTAGAGAGCTTCTTTTGGTTGTTGTTAACGGAGTGATCCTGTCAGGGGGAGGAAAAATTACTTTTGGTCACATTTTTAATTGACCCTTTAGGTCAGACCCATGTAATAGTCCAATAATTTTATAGTACTTCTCAGTTCTTTTTTCATTTAGTGAAAAAAATAAATATTATGGATAAAGAAAACCCACTGAATCTGGATCATTTTTCTTTTACCTTCAGTGCCAGGGGATGCAGTGGTACCTGTGTTTGTCTGTGTCAGGTTAATTTTTGTGACCTTCATGACAGACTAGTTGTTTAATCCAATGCTGATGAAAGTTGTCTAATTAATAGTATTATTTTCGCTTGCATCAAATTGGCAGGTTTGTTCATTGTCTTTGTGGTTGTCTATACTATTGCAGGCTGAAATTAGTTCATACTGACTGCATAAATAAATTGAGTGAGTTATGAAGTCAAAACAATTGGTCAGAGAAAAGGGGTGTTTTATCTGAGGAGTTAGCTATTCTAATTAAGTGTCCCTGTTCTTGTCTGTAAGACTTTTTCATCAAAGCAACGTGTTGTGTCTTAATATTGTGATAGATGGAGATTAATGATTATATATATATATCTGTAAAAGACTGGTTCTGTTAAGGAGAGTTGTTCTATCATGCTTTTACAGTGAAGACTTCTGGACATAATTTGAAAACCTTCATAAAGATGCAGTTTCAAACTTGTGTTTTGAATGACAGTAATTGTTTCAAATAAACTTTTTTAGATGCCAGAATAGAAGAATTTGTGTATGAGAAGCTGGACCGCAAAGCACCAAGTCGCATGAACAATCCAGAATTACTAGGCCAGTATATGATTGATGCTGGGAATGAATTTGGTCCAGGAACAGCCTATGGTAGGTAGAAGCAAACTAGTATGTCTTGTGTTGCAGAAATGAAGGGAGGAAAAATCCACAGATCTAGTTTCTCTTTATGATATAAAATGCTATTTCTTGTCTTCCTCTAGGTAACAGTTCAATGATTTTTTGTGTCAGTTTGAGGTGACTTGCTGTATATCTTTGAGAATTAGGGGATCCATGGTGAGGCTTCTATCCAAATCTAGAAGCAGAGTCTGCTGTTGGAATGATAACCATCTTTGTGGATGGATAATTTTATTACCAGATCAAATCATTCTGAAATTTATTTTCCTCATTGGAGGAACACATCTGACAACATTTATGCGTTTTACTTGTGGTGTAGAGTCAAAATGTTATGTGAAATTAACTTCAGTAAGAAGTCTTTGAACTTTACAGCATTCCTGCTTTTCATAATATACAATATTTTGCTAAAGGTGAGAGTGTAGAACATAATCTAACTTTTCTTTCTTCTCCAGCAAATTTATATACCCATGACAGGAGGGTTGGGGGTGTTATAGCTAATATTTTTTCACTGGCATTAATTAGAATTCTTAATTCTAGTGTTCTCTACAACTCTTAAAGTTGCTGCTAAGAGATTTTGCAGATAATTTAACCATCTGAAATGCATAGGTGTCTATAGTACAGTCTGCAGTTAAGGTCTGATAGGAGGGAAAACTTTGATTCTGGGAAGAGCGACTTCTTTATATCTGGAAACAATGGTGTTCCTTTTCAAAACAAGGAAAGGGCACTTAAAAATATTAAAATAGTTTATAGAAGATGTAATGGATACAAAATCAATAATAGCAGGGTGTGTTTCTCTTACTTCCCAATGGTTTATGCTGCTATCTGTGGCCTTCCTTCTGATCCCCAGCCACAAGTCTTGCTTTTTTAACATCAAATAGAACTGTACTTTCAGGCACACTGCCCCTTAACTTGCAGAATTTTTAGGATTCAGGCAAATAACAAACTATCAGCATAAAGATACACTGTGAGCTTTCATGTGGTGTCGCAAAACATGTTAGTTCTCTGAGAAGTTAGCCTCTTTTCTAACTAAGTTGTATTTGCCTGTTGAAACATAGTAACTGTATTCTTGATACACTAACTTCAGATTCAATACCTAGCTCGCAACCAAGTGTCTTTAAGTATTGTTCGGTTGACCACAAATGCATGCTTAGAAGTTCAAGTAGATGGGAATGGAGTAGATGGGTATAGCAAAAGGCACTTTTTTTTTTTTCCAGTAGCTAAGTGAGCTTTTCTTTTCTACCAACTACTCTTGAGTTAAAACAAAAATGCAGTGTAAGGGGAGGAAGTTGTCTTAAAATAGTTAGGTGTGATACCTACTTCTTAAATAAGTGCTCACAATGGAGTTTGCCATAGTTAGTGGCACTTCTACAGAGCTGCATCTGTTCTCACTGAAATTTTGGTTTGACCTGTGATTGTTACTAATAAAAATGATTTGGTTTAGTGCATGGGTTTGTTTGGTTGGGGGGGCTGTTTATTTTGGTGCATGTGGGATTTTTGTTTGGGTTTGGTTAGTTTCATTTTTTCTTGTAGCTTATTCAGATTTCTTTTGAGAGCCTTTGTGATGGCATTGGATTATCTTTTAAACTGCTTTCCTAAACCTTCCTGCCTGTAGAAACCTGTTTTGTTTTTGTTCACCACCTGCCTGACTCACTCTGAAACTTAGCTTTCGTTTTTAATCTGCAGGAAATGCACTCATTAAATGTGGAGAAACACAAAAGCGAATTGGGACAGCAGACAGAGAACTCATTCAAACTTCTGCTATAAATTTTCTCACTCCCCTAAGAAACTTTATTGAAGGAGATTACAAAACTATTACTGTAAGTTAAATTGTCCATTCTTCAGCATTTCACACCAATTTTAACTGTAGATCTTCAAAATGAAGTAGACGACAATAGGGCATTATTGCTTTCCTTGAACTAATGTAGAAAAACTCAGGTAGAATGAATGCCCTTGGTGTGTTTGCCTCCCTTTTGATCATGTAAAATCCAAATAATTTTGAAAACTTGCTTTTTGTAACTATTGTTCTATTAAATGTATGTATCTTCAGTATAAAATGTGAGAATAACTAGGATCCGATTCTGCTGCTTCAGCTGAAAAAGGTTTTGTATGTGATCATTAAAAAGACTTCCAAGTAGAAAGGCTTTTGCTTCTGAGTATGTGTACCAGTTTTCACAAAATAACTTCACTTATTTCAGAAAGAACGAAAACTATTACAAAATAAAAGACTAGATTTGGATGCAGCAAAAACCAGATTGAAGAAGGCAAAAGTTGCAGAAGCTCGAGCTGCAGTAAGTAGAGTTTGTGTGTTTGGTTTTTTTTTTTTAAGTTATTGATATATATTTATAAAGTTGACTGCTTGGTTATGTTTCCAGCCCTGTCTTCTTACCCCTGCTATTTTTCTGGGTGCTTGGTAAGAAATGCCTCAGTAGAACACAAGGAAATGAAAGTGAATTACTGATTAAGGTGTTAGTCTTCTATTTGTGGATATTTCACCAAGTTGAACTTGTTACAAGTAAATATTCTTGCCTTGCTCTATACTACATGAGCCTCTACTGCCACTTGCTACAGTCAGCCAAGATGGTTGTAAATACAAATCATACAGAGTTCAGGTTTTGGCATTTGAATCTCCAGAAGTGTTCAAGCATATGTATAATTGGTTCCAACTGATGAACCTATCTATACTTCTCTATATCAAAAGTATTTGTAATTTACTCCTTCTATATTGTTTACTATTTCACACCACCACACAGTGCAAGACTCGGCCTCGTATCTCGTAACTATTCTTATTACCTCACAAAATGCTTGTTCAAGGACATTAAAATTACTATAGACTTAAAAGCTCTTGCTTTTTAAACTCTTAAAATGCCTCCAAATGAGGGAATAGATAACTGAATGTATGCAACTTCAGCTTACAGTATTTTCAGAGCTATCTTTTGACTGTGTTCCTAAAAGTATAGCAGTTAATGATTGATGGTGAAGCATTTTTTCCCATAAGGGTTAATGCACACAGATGCTGAAGAAGTATGGATAATTTACATACACAGGGACAGTGTATAAGAGACAGAAGCAGGGGTGTCAGATCTTGTTGGCTTCTCCAAGTGGACCACTGTCCTGAAAGATCTTGCAAGACTCACCTCAGCTTTGTAGATAAAGCACCTCCTACCTTGGAATAGTGATCCTTCTAAAGAGGAAAACATGATCTCTACCCGTGTTGTAATCTTCCTTGTCAGATACACTGTCCTTTTGTGTTTAAATTGTCTGTGGTTAGGTCCATGCGTGCGTTTCCCCTTAGGTTATGTAAATTTTATGCAAAAAAAAGTTCTCTACTTGTTAAGCTTTCTTAATTTGTAAGATTAGCAATGGAGAGCAGGGCAGGGTTCTGGTCTGCTAGCAGTGGGATTTGGAAGCAATGTATAGGGAAAGAGTGGACAGTGAACTTACTCCTTTGCTTGGCTTTGTTCACAATGAAGTTTAAAAAAGAAAAAGGTATTTTCATTATTAACTTCCTTTTGTCATCTGGTAGCAGGTATATGCCTTACTATCTAAAGCAATAGAAAGACCACAGGGAAATAGTTCCCCTTGGGCTTGGTATTAAAAGAAAGGCTCTATACTTGAGTTTTTTTATTCCATAACAAGAGTAATCATCCAGAGCTTGGTGCTTGGACAGAACTGTTGCCAGTTGCTGCTACTGCTTGAGCAGTCTTAAGTATTCACGTAGCAAATAATTCATATGTTTATGCACAAATGAATTAGTGCTGGTAGAGCATGAAATTCCAGGCTTCTTACATGTACTTCAATTTTATTTACATTTTAACAGAAGTGTGCATGTTTAAGAAGTACTGGATTGTAGAATTTCCAGAGAAGTGAAAAAATTGCATCTCATCACTCTCTGCAATATAGAGATGAGAACTAACTTGGACATAGTGGTGATGCAAATGTTTCATCTTCTGCTGGCTCGCTCACTTATGAAGGAAGATATCTGACAGTCTGTGCTGAACTGATAGGGTAGCAAAGCGTATTGAGTTATGATGCAAACTTTTATGTCTTAAAACTTTCTTTTACAGGATAAAGTGATAAATTTCATCTACATATGATTATTTTTCTCCCTGTTATAAGGTTACTTAATATTTGATGAAATTACAATCTCACGTGCTTACTGTACAGCTGAAGTAGCTTAGATCAGTATTTAAAATAGAAATCTGAACAGTTTTATCTATATTCAGTTCACAATCTTGCTTAGCTTAAACTTGCAGTGCTTTGTGTCAGTAATCTGTTCTCCTGCTATATTCAGTGTTTTAACTTGCTTTTGTCTTTTATCTATGCACTTAAGCAACTAAACACCTCTCAGCCTGAAGAGAATAACATTATGGTAAATGTCTCTTACGTGCTCAACTTGCTGCATGTAAAATGGCTAAAGGTTTGTTGGCCTCCTGTGTTCATTCATTTTCCTATCAAATGTTTCCTCTTGCTACCCAACTCATTTTGGTCTTGTTTCAGATGTTTTCTGTTCCAAACTGAATTGGTATAGTGTACTAAGTGCACTTATGTCAGTACAGCATTAGATGTTGGTTTTATCAGAATATTTCTGGTAATTTGAAGTATACAGTAGTATATTCTAATTTTCATGAGTTTATGAATGTAAACTTAGGATGCAAAGGAATTCATTTTTTTAATCACTTAAATTAATTTCACCCATTGAAGGGACAGGAATTACTTCACTTTCCTGGTTTTGTCTTAATATGAGTAAGAGTGAATTATGTGAAGGTGCCAGAAATAAGTAGAAATTATTCCCTTCAAGTAATGTTTTACAAATTGCAATCTGAAAATGTCACATAAATTAATGGCTTAACTTAAAGTACAGTATATCCTAAATGTGTTGCAGGGACTCATTAGCTTAGCTGGTTTAACGCCATAATTGTGGAATTGGGAAAGGTGTTAATTAATCATGTACAACATAGACTGTGCTGTTCAACCTGACTTGGTTTGGGTCTTGGATGTGCACAGTATAGTGGGTTTCATCTAATTAGTGTTCCAGGTTTCTCAGTTGTAAGTAGATAAAAGAGCAAATAAACTTGTTTGTTATAACTTGATTTTGCAATCTTTATACACATTTCTTCCTACTAAAGTCCCAATTGTGTCATCTTCTTACAACTGCAGAAAATGAAGGTTAAAGGAGAGCTGCATTGCAAGAGGGAATTGGAACAGCAAGTTGAAGTAATTAACTTCTAGAGTAAATTTTCTGCCATTCTGTGATTTTTGCTGTACTACTCGCCATTACTGTAATACTCAGTTCGAGATACTTCTGTAGCATTTTTAATTGAATTTAGGTTTTAATAAAAATCTTTGTGCAATAGGAAGCCAGTAATGAAATTAGCAAGAGAAATCATTCATCTCTTTCATTCTTTACTTAACATGATGTTTAAATGAGAATAGCTTTCCGCAGTGTTGCAATGTTTTAATACATTAAGGTAACTTAAATTCCTCCATAATGTAATGCAGTTTGTATGATCCACCTCATTTTCTAAGTAATGTCTTGTGTTGTAATGTCTTGTTTTAAATAGATCCCTTTAATATATAAGTTCTACAAGTCATACGTACACTCTTCAGTATCTAACATACTTCACAGATGTAGTGTTATCCATACTCTTTGTAGTTTCATTGTATATGAAGTGCTTTGGGCAACTGGCTTATGCCTCCTTAAATTGCTGTGAAGTTCTAAGGGCATGAAAGTGGTTAAGACCCAAAATATAGTTGCATCCTGTATTGAAGCACCACCAATGTCTAAGTTTGTGTTTTTATTCTCCTCCTTCCCCCCCTAATGCTGACTAGATATGGGCTGAGGAAGTGACGAAAGTAAGTAAACAATTTAGAAGTTGCAGAATTCTGAAACCATAACTTGTGCGGGTCTAATGTAATAGAGGATATTGTTGATTCAGTCTAATGTTGGCAGCCTTATGCATTACATCAGAATACACTGGTTTCCTCTAGGTCCTTTCAAACTCCAGTGGTGTTTCAAACATCCAGGCTTGTTTCATAGTAAGCTGTTTCTGGTCAACTCTCTCTTGTTGCATGAGAATCATATGGTACTAAGATACAAAAGAAAAAGAGCTACAAGACTTCCTTCCAAATGCACTGGTATGCCATCCTGTTAAAAATGACCTCTTCAGAATGAGCTTATTTGAACGTTTTCAGAAAGGCTAGGGTCTAATCTAAATTGTCATCAAAACCACAGATGTTCAACTTCCCACAACATGAAGTAGTAATTAAAGTGTTGCAGTGCATGCATGAAGCTTGGAAAACTCTGTTTTGGAGTTTGGTGGTTTTGAGTTCGTTTTTGTTTTTTTGTGGTTTTTTTGTGTTTTTTTTTGTTCTCTACCTTTCTCCCCAGTGTCACTAGAGAATGCTGTGCTTAAGCAAGTGAAAATTGCCCCTGGGCTGAAGACTGGTTCATAAATACAGCATTAGACTGGGGATAGGATCTGAAGCCTTCTCTCTTGTCATGCCATGCTTTGCACAGGGACACACTCAGTGGAGCTAACGGAGCATTGGCGATAGCTTCTCCAGTGCTACAAGAAGGGCTGTTCTCGGGTGCGCTGGCTCTGACAAAGCAATGCTGGGAACATGCTTTGGGAAGCTGTGCTAACAGTTAAGAAAAGATTTCTTAGGGAATTTCTGTAGAGGATGGGAAATAAAAACAAAGGGTAGCAATACAAAGTAATGGTAGTTGTAGGGCAGGGCCTTTGAAGTACGGTTTTTAAAGAGGGTACCTAGGTAGGCAGCTGTGGGAGGCATTAGGGACTTGCTCTCTGAAGCTGGAATGTGGAGCTTTGGCTGACACCTTGGGGGTTGTGGGATAAACTAAGTGAAGGCTTTTTCTACTCCAATTTTCTGTGAGTTACGGTGCAAACATGGGGTGTAAGTGTAGGGTGTGTGAGTTTAGAGACTGGAACTGTAAGAGGAGAGTTAGGTCACCTTTGATCCTAAAGTTTGAGAACTATTTTACTATTTAAGTGAATGTGTCTGCTGGAGTACTTGGTACTGTTGTGGAAAAAGACAGCAGGGGAGCAGTACTGCTGTAACAAACTAATCTTGATGCTATCAGACAATGAATAAAACTATTTGTTTTTCAGAGACAACAGACTTTGAAAACCTAATTGGTTTGTAAGGTGATACATGCACTGCTATCAGTTTTAAGAAATACACAGCTGCTTCCTCACTGTTTAATTGTGAAAGCCTTCCCAGCTGCTGTGACCTCAGATGAAAAGCATTTCTTGGGTAACTGCATTGTCCTGTGCTCACTGCTGTGGTTAACATCTTTCTGTGTGACTCTTCATATGGATCAGCATTAGTGGAATGCAAGAACAGAATGTTTGCAAACACACAAAAACCTTTTGAAACCAATGTTCTGTTGGTATCACCTCATGAGTTTTCCTGAAAATAGATTTCCTTACTCTGTTTTGCTGAGAACAGTAATTGCTGCATCTTGAACTTAATGTAAATTCTTGCCTTTGGGTTGGTTTTTAGAAACAAGGTACTAAGTGCATGCAAGCACTGAGGCAAGGGAATACAGATTCCAGGCTGAGGGTATTCTGTCTTGGAACAGTAAATCTTAAATCTTACAACACATTTTTTATGTATTTGTGGGGTTTGAGTAGTGTCCTTTTCCTTTCTCTCCCTACCCCAAATACCCCAAAGTAATTTCTGCTTGTGTGAGATTCAAGTCCTTTAAAACTGCTATAACAGTGTTAAGGTAGTTAAAAATTGCCGAGAATGAAATGCAACAAGGAATAAATTTGAGTTATTTAAATACGAAACTTAAAGCAAGTAATTTTTTAATAGAAAGTTTACTCTAATTAAAGTTAGAACATTTGCTATAGTTTGGATTTATTTAAAGATGCCTCAACTACAATCTCCAGAAATAGTTGTAGCAGCTTGGTGGCCTGTATAAGACAGTAATTTACGAACTATCCTGTTAAAACTTGCCCTCAAAGAATTATGTTACAGCTGATTGCTGCTTGGTTACAAGACAAAGGCAATGTGAGGTTTACCCTAAATTGCTTGGTCAGAGCCCTGTTGCAGACACTGTTATGCCAATAAACACTTGGTTTGTAACTGGGAGAGGTGGGGTAATACTGCAGGCAGAAAAACTCCTGCCTTTTGCATACACTGACTTCATAAGGTAGGTGCTGATGATAAAGCTGTTTCCTTGGTATACAGGGCCTCAACATTTCTGAGCCCAAAATGCAGTTATTCTTTTTACCTAAATCTGCAACAAAAAGCACGTTTTGAACACCTAACTTGCGATGAATGCATTTGTATAAGTAGCTCTGAATAAAATGGAACTGTTTTAGTCAGAAGATATAAAAGAGTGCATTGTACAAATACCTAATGTTCATCCTTGCTTTTAGTCTGAACAGGAAGTGCGGATTACTCAGAGTGAATTTGATCGTCAAGCGGAGATTACCAGGCTTCTGCTGGAAGGAATTAGCAGCACACATGTGAGTACACAGAAGAGATAGAAGAGCAAAGTCAAAATCGGGGCACTTCCTAAAAATAGCTCCATTAAGCTATTTGGGAACTTTGGGCTATGAAGTTTCACTTCATTGTGGTAAAGCATCAAAATTTTGTTTGTTTTGGTTTTTGAGTTCTAGTCTAATAGCTACTGAATCAGTCTTTTGTTAACCTTGAAAAGACAGGAGCTTTCATTTTTGTTCCTTAAACTCAACTTCCTGTTCATCAAATTAACTGAATGTTGAAACTGCCAAAGCATCCTAAAATATTTACTCTGTTGTGGAAACAAAATGGGTAACTGGCATGATGCTTGTACAGCACCTATTTTTTTGTGCTCAGATATTAATTTTTGTGTCATTTTATCCCAGTTACCTGGTAAATTCAGGCACTCTGCCTATGGGGCATAAATCCCTATGTGATAATGTTGGTGTTAGCACGTGACTAGGAGACCAGTCATTCTAATGCAGCATAGTACTTCTACAGACTAAAAACTTGATTTTTTTTATTGCTGTATTACAGGCACATCATCTTCGCTGTCTGAATGATTTTGTTGAAGCTCAGATGACCTATTATGCACAATGTTACCAATATATGTTGGATCTCCAGAAACAACTTGGAAGGTAGTAATACTGTAAAGACTTCAGAGAAAAACCACATCTTTTTCCTAAGTGCTTATGAATAGTAGGAAACTGATATAAGGGTGGTGAACGCAGAGGCATGCTGGACTGAAAGGAAATATATTCTCGGGTATTTAATATGTAATTACCCCAGTGCAAACTGCATCCCTAAGCCTACACACAGCACTCATGCCTTTTGAGGGTTAATTTGCTGAGATTTTGTGCATTTCCTGATTGAGGAAGGTGAGCCCATGGTAACCTCACTTAACAGCATAAAAAGAAATTCCTGGAATTATCCGTATAATCATTCATTTGTCTTCTGCTTTATGCTGTGCAGCGTGGGTAAGTTTTTGTACTCTCTGTAAATTCCTTTTACCTCTTAATTCGCTGCAGGGCACTACCTGATTTTCAGTGGAACTGCGTTCTCCACTGTTACGAGAATTGCCAGTATAGATATTGTATCTAGGTAGGAGTGTAGCCCACAATATCTATAATCGGTAATCCAAAGTGCTTACAATGGAATGAGCAAGTTTGTCTAGTTCTACTGTTTCAAGGGTTTAGCATTTTAAAGTAAGAGAAAAAGCTATTTGATGTTAGTTTGTGCTCCTGGTGATGTAAAGATATCTGCATAAATACTTCTCGTGAAGTTTCACATTTCTAATTGTTTTTCACAAATCAGCCTTTCTTAGGGTTATACCAGACCATATTATGTAGGGTGAGCATGTGCATTGAAGGACTGTCTGTACTTGGAAGTGCCTGTTCTGAATAACTGTTTCTATAAAGTATCTCTATTTATGTTTTTCATGATAAGGAAGCAAAAACAAAAGTGTTCTTGAGTCTTGTCCTTTTCCTGACTTGCAGCTTCCTGTGGCATTTGATTTCCTTCCCTCAGTTTGTTTGAATGGGTACTTTAAAGTCTTTAAAACTGGTTTGCTTAAAAAAAGCTCTACATCTTTAAAGTTATATTCCATTAAAAACAGTATTCAATCATAAAATTTGGTAACTCATAAATGCATTTACTGAAAGCTTGAAAAGAACTTTACTGGATTAAGGGCAAGCACCTCTTAGAAGTTAAGTGAGGTATATTTACACAGCTATTTTGAGAGGATGTTTCTAAAGTCTGTACTCTTATCCATATCTGTTTACTAAGCTGAAAGCTTTAAGCATAATACCCTTAGCCTAAGGAAGAATGTATTTCTCTTTAAAATCTCTTGCTTTAGGTTGTACAGCATGTCCAGAATAGCTGTTCTTGTTTAAAATTTGTGTAAACTGCTACCAGGTGTAAAAGAGTGTATTTGAAGAAAGTACTGCCTTCAGGAGAACAGAAGGATGTTTCTTTACGTGGCTGTGATCTGATGAGTATTTTTGATAAGACTGCTAGGACTGCTAGACAACCAAAAGTATGGAAACTTTGCAGAATCTTCAGTGCTTCCAACACCCACATGAATTTTCTCTGCCTATTAAAACAGTCATGGTATTAAATCTTGGGTGTGTCTTTCCTTCCTTGTGCAAGGAAGTCCCACTGAACTATAACAGAGAGCACTGGGACAAGGTCTCAAGTTGTGCTCCTTGCTTTGGAAGACTCCTCAGTTTATAGCCATCGGGTGCATAGCACTTGCATTAAATAAACAGATGAGCAGGATATGCGTAGTGTTTTCCTATGCTACGTGTAAGCAGATGCAGTGCCAAATAGTCTTTGCCAGCTCAGCTAGATTTTGGTTGTATTTGCCAATGCTGTGTTGGTTAGTAAGGCATCTATAGTGCTGAGTTACACGTGTTCTTTTTGCACATCTAAGAATGACGTTGTGCCATATTCTCATGTGAAAGCCAAGAGCTGTGAGTGACTTCTTTTTGTTTTGAAGCTGCTGGCGGACCAAAGGTGTTCAGCCTTCAAGTGATCCAGTTTGTTACTTGAAACAGAAACCTGGGTCTCAAGAGTAGATGCGTATGTTGTGTTTTACCTGGATCAGAATCTATGGCATAAACCATAACCTGGTTCACACTGAAAGTATTCAAGTTCCAAAGCTGAGTACTGACTTTCCTGATGTACTCTCTCAAGAGTTAGCTGTAGAGAAGGTGGAGGCAAAACTTGTGCTCAGTCCTCTTTACATAAATAGACATGGGTTTATGGATGTTTCTCTTCAAGGCAGTGCCAACTGCTTATCCCCCTTCTGCATTCCCCTCCTGTGGGACTGCTTAAGGAATCGAAACTCCCTGGTTAAAAGCAATCTCTCTTCTTTTTTTTTAGTTCCTCAGAATGAACTAAACAAATCTATTTAAAATATTCTGGTACTCCAGCTGTTTCCCTGCTGATACCTGCTTTTGCTCTGAATTTTCTCAGCTTTCCTAACAGCCAAGCCTAAGCCTTGGCATCATTGTGTCTTTCAAATTACCCATCACTAGTCCCCTACTCTACACTGTGAAACTTCTGTTACTAAAGTGTTCTCCCAGACAACCTTTGTATAGCTGAAGCTTTCCAGTAACATGCCTGCATCTGGTTTCGTAAAAGTGAGACTTAATGCTTCGCTGATTGACAGTGGTTATAAAGCTCTGGCTTTCTTTTTTCCTAGCTGTACAAATCAGTGACCCTTTGAACTGAGAATGATTTACATGTAATCACTGTGTTAACAGAGAACAGGTTTAGCAGTGTATTAAGCAGTAACTTAACAACATTGAGGAATAACTGATTGTCATTTCAAATCCCTCTATTTGAATGCCAGCTAACCAAGTAATAAATACATCATGAGGCACAGCTCAGTTATTCCTACAAAACTGGGGGGTCTAGCTTTTCTTCCCTTTGTTGTGATCATTTGATTTGCTCTGGGAACATGGTGAATTGGTTTGACAATCTAATGTGGCAAATGAAAACAAAAAAATCAGTGGGGTTGCAGTCTCTTCTCCATGAGTTGAACCAGTTCTTGATGATCAAATGTGGTCAAGGTAAACCAGAGGGGAAGTGGGGACTCCCTCCTTTGGGCAGTATTGAATCGTGTTCACTCACAACAGTCTTCTGAAAGTCTACTTGTTTTTATATGCAATTCAGTCTAACTGTAAAAGGGTAATCCTGTCCTTTGCAGTATGTTCCTGCTGTTTTCCCCGAATCGGATACAATGGTGAATGTGTTAAACAAGCTGTTCTGAGGGAAAGTTAGTAATCTTCTTAATGACTTTGTTAGATCAGGTTGTTGAATCAACTCAAAAGCAATAGATTGCTGGATCTGACTCAAATGACAGAGAATGAACATTTGCACAAAGGAGAAGTATATTTTAAAACCTATACTTCATGTGTTAAATTTACACTGCCACTGGGGGGGGGGGGTCAAGCAATGATGTGTTTGCATCTCAGATGTTAATGAAAATGTATCTATGTAGGAGGACTGATGAGGAAAGTTATGGGGGAATTGAGTGACTAGTTGATGCATAGACTGGTCAGAAGAATGGAAGGAAATGCAGCTGCAGTTCCACCTCTTCCTGACTCTGTGCAACTCCTGGTTACTGAGCCTCTTACACTGCATCAGCTCTACCACTTTTCAATACCTTCATTGACCTGCTTTTAAGGTAGAATCAGATGAGGTTTGGGACAAAGGTTGCAAAGGGCTGAGGAATGACTACATCAGCTGCTAGATAAGGAAGCTTAGTCTGCCACAGAACTGCATTCAAGAACAGAGGGCAGTGATGTGAGACAGTATCACAGCTCATCATTGCCCCCCATGCTGTTCCATTCCCCCTGTCCCACAGAATCACAGAATGGTTGACCCTGAAAGGCACCACTGGGGGGCATCTAGTCCAACCTCCTCCTTAAGCAGGGTTACCCAAGGCACATTACTCAGGGTTGTGTCCAGACAGGTCTTGAATATCCGGAAAACAGGAACTTCCTGTGTTTTAGTTTATGCCTATAGCCTCTTGTCCTACTGCCTGGTACTACTGAGATGAGTCTGGCCCCATTCTCTTGACACCATCTCTCCAGATACTTATACACATTGATCAGATTGCCAGAGCCTTTGCTTCTCTGGGTGGAACAGACCAGCTCCCTCAGCCTTTCCTTGCATGAGAGGTGTTTCGGACCCTTAATCATTCTGGTAGCCCTTTGCTGGACTTATTCCAGTAGTTCCATGTATCTCTTGTACTGGGGAGCCTAGAACTGGACACAGTATTGCAGGTGAGGCCTCACCAGGCCTGGGGAGAGAGGACAACCTTCCTCTGCCTGCTGGCAATGCACCCCAGGATACCATTGCTGCTCTTGGCCACAAGGGCACATGTCTGGCTCACTGACAATCTGTTGTCCACCAGGACCCCCAGATCCTGCTCTGCAGAGCTACATTCCAGCAGGTCAACCCCTAACCTGTACTAGTACATGGGTTTATTTCTCCACTTGCTGCTTTGCTCTCCTTTCTACTCCTTCCACATCTCAGCCCTGTTATTCTGTCCTTTCCCTTGTATTGGCTCTGGCTTTCATCGGTGTTGGGTCTTTTATTCAGCTCATTAACTTTGTAGAAGATTATACACTTTCCTTTTTATCTTTTTCTTTCTCCAGGCAGGTTAATGAGTTGAATTGGCCTCACAGAAGGGTCTGGCAAGCACTAAAGCTGTTGCTAAACAAGCAGTAGTGTGAACTAGAAAGGAGGGGCTGAAGTTGATATAAGTTGATCCTTAGCATAACAAATAGTTTTGTTTTACAGCATGCAGTTAGCTGAATCAACAAACTGATCTAGGTTACAGAAATAGTTGGGGGTGTGTGTGTGTGTTAATTCTTTCAGAGGGAGGCTGTGTTTTTAATCTGCAGTATATTTCCCTGTCCTGGTTCACCAGCACTCTTTTGTGTAGCTACATAATTGAGGAATGAGCAGGAGGAGGTGGAGGCTGCTTTTACTGGCAGAGCTGTCAAAAGAAATGTTTATTAAACTACAGCCTGAATTGGGTCTGACCAACAGTGCTTTCTTGGCTTTGCTTTTGTTTTATTTGAAGCACTTACCAAGTCTTTTTTTTTTTTTTTTTAAGGTAGCAGTATTTCTTTTTAAGTATGTTGGTTTGATTTGTACTACAGGTTAGGGAAAAGAATCTTTATTTGGGTTATACCTTACTTATATAGGTTATCAGTGCTTTTCTATTACTGCTGTCTACTGGTGTTTATTCTGTAGTTGATAAATGCAAGAATGCTGATTCAGGCAAGGAGGCAGGTACAACTCCCCATGTAGAACTGATTTACTCAGAAGTCTTTGTTTCATTTTCTCCCACAGCTTTCCATCTACTTTCCTCTCTAATAATAATCAGTCTTCCTCAACTCCTGTGCAGAGTGTTTCTGCTCCCTCAGTCTTGGCCTCAGCCTCTGCTTCATTGCCTTCAGTAAGCAATTCAATAGTTACTTCAGGCATCAGTGAACTGAAGTCATCAAGTGGCAGCAGGAAAGCTAGAGTTCTCTACGATTATGATGCTGCAAACAGCAGTGAATTATCACTACTTGCAGATGAGGTAAGAATTTTCTATGTACCTTCAGCCAGTTAAGATGTACTACATCAAGAAATCTGTGTAACTGATTTTTAATTAAACTTCAATAGTACTCTTATAGCATTGTCCTGTACCTGTATATTCTAATACTTTATACTTGGAGTTATCATGTTACACCAGCTTAGCGTGCAAGAACATTTACTAGACAACCACAAAAAAAGTTTTCAGACTTCTTTGGGTTTTAAATGTGCATTATTAAAATATTTCTATTTGACTTTTTTTTCTCATTTAGGCAGTTACTTAGAAGCTGTGTCCTAAGATTTTCTGTTAAGATAAACATGTGAACAGCATCTGTCTTGCTGTCATGCACTTGAAGATCCAACAAACCTTCTTTTAGATTGCCTGTTAAAATTGATGGTGATAGACAAGTTTTATAGATAAAAAAATAATAGAAAAGAATGAGTAATGAATAGAATTTCATTGAGGGGAAAAAAAGGGACTTTAGAACATGTTATTTTTCCATTGACCAGTGAAATAGCTTTTATAAATACTAGGTTATGTTTCATGGATATTCATTTTAAATGCTCTATTTGACTTGGTTAATCTCAATTCTAAGACCTTGGACATCGCATGAGGGCAGACTGTAATTCTTCTTCCAGGCAAGGAAAGGTTATAATCATGTGTTTCTGTTTTTTAGGTGATAACAGTGTACAGTATCCCTGGCATGGATTCAGACTGGCTGATGGGTGAAAGGGGAAATCAGAAAGGCAAAGTGCCTATTACTTATTTAGAACTGCTAAACTAAATGGTTGGCCTGAATAAAGACTGTCAATTATGGCAACACCATATTTATATACAATTAACATTATGTAAGCAGGTTTTAAGTGTCTTCCATATTATTGTCTTGAGGGACAAATACCAGCCATTAGAAACTGGCTTTTCTGCCAGCATGGTTGCATGGTAAATACTCTATTGAAACTTAATGTGTTTAAAGCTTTTACTTCATGTGCCAAGAACATGTTTCCTACAGATTTGTTTCTACTGAAGTTTTCACTAATACAAGCTCATACTTTTGAGTAATCTAGATTGAAAGCAGGAGGTACTGTTTTCTACTGAAATTTTTCATTAATGGCAAAGCTTTTCTTCACATAAAATAAACTTATTGTGAACTGATGCAGGTGTAATGCACATTATTTGAATAACCAAAACTAAACGTGAAACACAAACCTTAAAATAAGTCCATATGGTTCTGTTCCCAATACTTGTGGAGTTACAGTGTGCTGAGGCATATATGGTTATCTGCTGAGTAACTTCTGCATTTAATCACCTTTGAAGAATAAAAAGGTTGTTTTCTCTATGAACATTTAAGAGAAATTGCTAGTATGTCAAGACTTGAAACTGCACCTAGGTCGATTGACACAAGCTAATGACATATGTTCTGACTTGTTTTTCATCTTGCCTTGTATTTTTTTCTTTTCAGTTGCTTTCCAGAAAGGAGGGTAATTAATTTTGATTAGTAATTATAAATACTCTTTCAATTGCAAATCAGCCTTTAAGTTAAATTAAGCACTGCATTTTGCTACCCAAATATGCACTGTTTCTCTATGTCCAAGTAGTTCTATAGATGAGCATACATTTGTTCAGTTTATCTATTTTAATGAAAATCTGCATGCACAATTTTTACGCAACAGTTTATTGTCATGTTCTCATTGGATTGAAGTTGCCTTACACTCTTTTGGTTTTGCAAGAGGACCTCCTTTAAATGCATGGGGAGGAAAAAACTGTTTTAAACCTAAAAATGGCTCTGACAGAGCTAGTATCATTTGCAAATAACATAACTTTTCCCTAAACGTTGCATGCTTCAATGTTTCAGAAGCAGCAGATTTTCGAGGCGGTAAAAAGATTAAAAGGATGGATTAAGGGGAATCATTTTAAGTTCCACTATATTTAATTAGTTGATTTGACTTGCAGAGGGAAATCCTTTCAATTGGGAAGGAAATTATTTTCCTTGCAGAAGACCCAACAGTGACAGTGGTCCACTTAGCTCTTGGGGAACACTGGTACCAGGTGCTTAGCTAACTCCTTCTGATCATCAGCCTTGCTATGATAAGTCTTTAAAGAATTTTTAGCTCTGTCATTGCAAACATGAAGTGATGTGGGAGTGGTCTAGTGTGAGGTGTCCCTGCCATCTAGTTGGAACTAGATGATCTTTCAGGTCCCTTCCAACCCAAACCATTCTATGCCTCTATGAAACTTGGCAATACTAGATATCCAGCCCATTTCAGTGGGATGGATAAAATTGCATTCATTTTGGCGATGTGGTGCTTTAACTAGAAAGTGATGGTTTTGATTTTTGAATTGCACTTCCAGAAATACCTTTTTTTAGAGTGCAGAGGTTACATGAAAACAAATACATTGAGTTGGTTCATCAATTGGAACCTTCTTGGGGTAACTACAGAGAAAATCCTAGTTTTATTTGGTCTGTTAAATGCAAAGATTAGAGGAAACAATCCTAATAATTACTGATGAATTAGAAATAACCATTAATAATTCATGATACATTGAATAAAATTAATAGGAAGATAAAGCCCTACAGTTCAGAAGGAAAAAAGAACTTTAACTGCAGTGGTGGTTTTCTCCAGTCCTCTCTAATATGAACTGCCATCAACTGCGTTTGAATTCAGATCAGTATTATTCATTTGACTGAATTTGTGGAGTATTCAAGAATACATATATAAAACAACTCAAAATTTAGTTGATTCCTTGCTATATTGGACTATTTACTTCCTATAGAAGATATTGTATGGCAGTATTTGAAAAGATGTTGGGAGTTCAGTGCAGTATAAGTGGTACAGTTATGTGACGGCAATATCTGGCAGCAGCTTAAGCTATGTGCAAGAGAAATTGCGCTTGATCTTTAAGTCTAACAAAACTGAAAATCCATATTCTCAGTCCTCCCTGTTTCTGTTTAATTTCAAACAAAAAGTAGTTTTCATCTGAAGTAAATAAAGTTCTTACTGTTTTCTTAAACTCATCTATCTATCCTGAGGTTCTCTGTATCATTGAGAAAAGAAGCTGGGAGAAAAGTGCTCATTTAATTCTAGTGTTAAATCAAACAGAAGTTTATTGCAGGTAGTCCCAACACTCAACCTCAGTAAGTGTCATTTTGTGGGGAATTTTCAAACAAAAATTGACTGGACTTCTTTGGTTTTGGTTTCTCAATGAAAGTAATTGAAGTTGGCTTGGGGGCTCTCATTTCTTTGGTTAATTCCCTCTTTTCTTAGCGTAAGCTTTATTAGTTGAAATAAAGGAAAAAAACATAAAGCAGGCCAGAAGAACCCCATATGAAAGTTCCAGACATTTGAGAAATCAGATCTCAAACATGGGAAAAAGCATAGAATATGCATTACCTTATATTTAATAACTGATTTCACAAGATAAGTGAATTCTCAATTGATACCTGAAAATGTTTGCATGAGAGGATAAATATTTCCATTGCTGTTAAATCTGTACCTTTTTTTCTCTATATTTACTGGCATTTTACTTAATTTTTCTAATTAATACTAAGATTTTTTGAGATTTTAAACCAGAATAACCCTCCCATATATACTATGTAACTAATCAATGATTAGCAGGTTTTGTGGCAAGATATGGTAATATATGGCATCATTAGTGTAAATTAATGCTTTTGGAAAACTAAATACTAGCTTGAAATATTTCCTACCATAATTGCTGTTTTTAATGATTTCTTAGTCAGACTAAGCTTGAAAAATAACTCCTTGTTTGGACCTTTTGTAATCCATGAGACTTTTATAATTGTGTTATTAATTCTGTTTCTTTCTAGAGTAGTGTTGTATCTTGGAGCAGAATTCTCTACCATATGGAAATTTTGGCTACAGGTAAAACCATCAGTGTATAGTGTCTTAATGCAGGCAAATGTGTGTGGGAAGGTGGAGGAAGGAAAGAAATATATCCATGAAGTACAAGACTATGCAAAATTACCAAATTTAGCATAGGGCTCTGCTGAAACTAATTAGCCTTCTGAAAGGCAAGCATAATTAGCCCACAAACAACAATGTTATTGCAGCTTTACTGCCTCTGGGATTGGAGCTAGCATCTCTGGATCTCATGCACAGTATGTGAATTAGTATGGTGCCACATTAATTCTTAGTGTCAGAGGTGCCTCTATAATGTGCAATTTATTGAACATTATGGAAGTTGGGAGAAAGGGTAGAGCTAAACCCATATATTCTGGTTGTGAGGATATCCTGTACCTTTAAGGAACACTGTAAGGAGAGCATCTTTCTTGTCACAATGCAGATAGTATTTTTCACGTCTTAGGACTACTGTAGCAGTAGACTAAAGCACTAAGTTTAATGACTTTAAGTGCTCTGCTACAACAGAACTTGAGAGAATTACTTACAAACTGCTTATGCAATGACCAGCAATTCCATGTGCAACAGATATTTCCAAAAGATGGTTGTGATGTTTTGGGGGAAGAGAAGCAAAAATGAAAATGCTCAAACGTGAAACCTAAAGGTATTTTGACAAAACCATGCAAGTAATTGGAGTTGATGTATATGCTTAGCATATGGCTTACAGTAAGTAACCACTGAGAAAGCATAGGTGCATTCTGGACCAAACCATTGGTAGAATACATAAGAGTAATTCAGATTAAATACTTAACATATGGTAGTTGCGGCTTGAGTTTTTTGGATGTAGGACCCTAACTTGGCCACAGGATGCAGCTTCCTAATTGCAATTAGCTGTGGTGGTTCTTAGTAGAAGAAAAATGCATGATAGTTCTACTTTCAAATCTGGCCCAAGGAAGAGGCAGCATTAAAACTGTTTTGGTTCTGTTATCAGTAATACATTTAGAGATTACTCTGAGAATTAATTAAAAGGCATAAATAGGTTAAAAGAAATTAAATAGAAATCAGTTAATTCTTGAATGTTTGATTGTCAGCACTCAATAATGGCCTTGTAGATCTCAACTCAGTTCTTTATGGAAGATTGTGCAAGAGTGACCTGAGGTGTGTTCCTGGAGCCTAGGTGTGATAATACATGGAATATTAGTTAATTTGCCTCTCCAGTGGTTCAAAAAATTAGCAATACTAAAATCTTGATATAATGTATGCAGTTTCAGTGCATTTGTATAGAATGTGGCTTTTCATATATTACATCTGGCCTTTCCAGTCTCCTCTTAAAAGAATGCTTTTTACCAAGCAGCTTCATTAAAGTTTATCTGCGAGCTTGACAAATGCTTTCTGCTCATCCTTAATAGTTACACTGGTGAATCCATAGAGGCACTTTCAGCATCAATTGTCATTTTAATATCCCATGACAATGCTTTTTGCGATGGTCTCACTGTCATGCCACAAAATAAGCATCATAAGTACAATGTATGCAGTACTCATTATGGTCATGATTGCTTGGCTCCAGCAAGGAGTTTCTGTGGTCAGCAGTCTGTCCATCTGGCTTTTAGGCTTGGCAACAACACAGACATTATAATGTTTCCTTTCAAACACGGGCAGAATCCGCTGGGGATATGGGCTGCTTCATAATAGTTTTGCTCTTTCTTCAGAAGACATTATACCTTTAAATAATAAGATGTCTATGCTAGAATTGAAGGTTTAATATGACAAGAAGTCTCCTTTGTGCAAAATCTTTGCAGCATAATGCCAGTAATCCCTAGATGGTAGACTTAAGAGATGATATATTGAACAGAATCAGATTAGTGGTGCCCAAGGTCTCAGTTTCTAGGAATCTCCCTGGCCATGCTCTCTCATCTGTCTTGGAATAATTCTCCTGTTTTTTGTTTATAACTGGAGGTGCTGAATACAGAGGTGCTTTGAATTTATATTTAACTTTGTCTTCCTTTCTTAGCTTACTCCCAGGTGTGACTGTTGCTATGAAACTGGCCACCAAGGCTTTCCGAAAACTGTTCTCCCCCCCAGAACAAACTCAAGTATTTAGAAGTAAATAAGCAGCTTCCTTCTGAAGGCAGGAATTGCTAATTCCTAAAGACTGCAGTAATTGGAAGAAAGCCTGTGTACAGCCTGTTGTGGGTTTTCTACAGAGCAATGAGGAACAAGGGGACACATGCACCAGTCAGCAAGATATGTGAATGATAAATTCACAGCATATAGTACAGAGAAGTTCCTCTAGGGCAG